CGATGCCTCGTGACGTTAACTTTCTCCTGGCCCGGAGATCGATGATGGTATAATATATGCCTAAGGAGCTATAAATGATAACAAGTTCGTCGTCTCCGATTGTATCGGCTGGCTCCTCGCGCCAAAACTCACTCTCTCCTTAGGTTTGTTTGATTAATATTCCGTTGCAAAATAAAAACAAACGCCATCTCGTGTTATTTAAAGTTACGTTTTACTTTAAGGACGTCCCACCCTTCGTAATACACGTGTTTTTCTTGTCGTATTTTCGTGTCGTCATTTCCGTATCGCGTATCGGGCATTCCATTACCGTAGTGTAAATTATAGTATCACCGGGTAAACAATAGTACACGTGCGTGACGATGATATGTCAACACCGAGAACTCTCATCGGGATCAAAATTATTGTAAAATGTAAAATAAATGAATTATAAAGACTTCGGGTGTATTTGGTTCAATTTTACACACTTTTTGTATGAAACTATGTGTCCTGTTTGCTTTCAGCTTGTATATAATAACTTTCATTCATACAACTTCAATAAAAACACTTTTTGTAACATGTTGTAGATATTTTATGGTAAATAAAATATTTGTACGGTTGATTTGCAATGCTTCTTTTCATTATTTTATTGTTGTGATAGTTTTGAACAATGCCACGCACTCAATAAATGTGAAAGTGATAAATTTGACAAAAATTCAATTTTTCGGTATTTTTTACCTAAAAATCCCCAGTTTATCGAAATGTTTAGATTTTCATAAAATCATCATTACATAGTGACATAACTATTATGTGAAACTTTCACTGAATTCTGCTGGCTAATTGCGAAAGGGTGGAACCTCCTTAATATGTAAACGTGTACATAAGAGCAGACGTAGACTGACAGGTAGATTCAGACGTAAATATAAGGTACGACTTTTAGTGAATCTGGTGTTCGTCTTCAGACACGTTAGACACGGCAACGTGTTGACTTGCGACCTTTAGTGAAACTGTGTTCCACGATTGGTTTAAAAAACTTTATTTTACTATCGGAATAATATTCCAGTAATACAAACATGATATACATATAGGATTCGAAAACAAGTACAAAGTAATCCGTCTTTTTTTTGTGTAAAACGGCGCTTGGACGGCACTGACTAATATTATGCATATAGATATAATTTATATGGAAGAGAAGAGGGGGAAGGAAGAAGGGAAAGAGGTGAAAAAGGTTCGAGGATTCCCAGTATGAGATGCAACGAAACGAATACCAGGGCCCGTATTCACGACACCCAAGGGCCTGTATTCAAGACACCCCAGGGCCCGTATCCACGACACCCCAGGGCCCGTATTCACGACCCCCCAGGGCCCGTATCCACGACACCCCAGGGCACGTATCCACGGCACCCCAGGGCCCGTATTCACGACACCCAAGGGCCTGTATTCAAGACCCCCCAGGGCCCGTATCCACGACGCCCCAGGGCCCGTATTCACGACACCCCAGGGCCCGGATTCACGACACGCCAGGGCCCGTATCAACGACACCCCAGGGCCCGTATCCACGACACCCCAGGTCCCGTATTCACGACACCCCAGGGCCCGTATTCACGACACCCAAGGGCCCGTATTCAAGACACCCCAGGGCCCGTATTCACGACACCCAAGGGCCTGTATTCAAGACACCCCAGGGCCCGTATTCACGACACCCAGGGGCCCGTATCCACGACACCCCAGGGCCCGTATCCAAGACACCCCAGGGCCCGTATCCAAGACACCCCAGGGCCCGTAGTCATGAAACCGTTATCATGCTCAAGCAGCACTCTTGAGTCTTGTAACTCACTTAAGTAACGTAATACGGTCAAAAAATCAACTTCACGGTAAAAACATTGAAAACAGTTCTCGGCTGTGACTGTCTCCATTATTCTTCCATATCATTTTCAAAATTTGATTTCTTAATGATTTATCACAAAAACAAGATATTGGGCTTGAGCACAAAATCTGAGTTTGAGCATGGTTTCATGAATAAGGGTCCAGTACTTTCAAATTCATCTTATACGGAACGTTTACAGACCATTAGGGTATAGAGGATTAGTAGTGCTGTGATTGCGGTGAATTAAATAATTTCCGGAAAATACGACACAAATGTCGCAGACCTTTTTACAATGAAAGACGGCTCAAATACACGAGGCCATACCTCGGAAATATACAAAGAGTATTCGAGGTTAGACATTAGAAAATATTCGTTCACGCAGGGAGCTGTTGACAAGTGAAACAACCTCCCGCCAACAGTAATGAACGCATTGAGAATTATTTTGGTTTGGTTTGGTTTGGTTTGGTTTAGTTTAGTGTTGTTTAACGTCCTATCAACAGCTATGGTCATTTAAGGACGGCCTCCCCTGTGTGCAAGATGCATGCGTGTAGTGTATGCGTGTGTGTTTTGGGAGGCTGCGATATGTTCGTGTTTGTCCCCTTGTGATAGCGCGGAACTGATGCCGACTTTATAGTGCTACCTCACTGAAACATACTGCCGAAGACACCCAGCAGGACACCCCACCCGTTCACATTATACTGACAACGGGCGAACCTGTCGGCCCACTCCTAAATTGCTGAGCCTTAAGCAGGAGTAGAAACTACCATTTTTACAGACTCTGGTATGTCTCGGCCAGGGGACAGAACCCAAAGCATTCCTCACAGGGGCAAATGCTCAACTAAAGGCCAAAAGTGACGCATTGTCAGGGGAGACATTAGGAAGAAGAAAGTTGTTTAGAAAGGAGAGAAAAGATAGTATCAAATTAAGTCGCCTCTTACGATCATGCAATGAAAATTAAACAATTTAAGTACCAAGTACATGAACATTGGAAAAATCATTAAGCCAAAAGTTTAGCTATGGACTGTGCATTTACAATTCAAAATCATACGTATCTTTAAATTACAAACTGACTATATATGAAAGGATTGTAAATACTGTACATAGTTTATGTGGGGTTTTAAAGAATAAATCTGTGTGTCTGTGAACCCAAAATATTCCAATTAGCAGTGTAACTACTCCGTAGACTGTCTGGACTGGAGAGAGAAAATAAACGTACTTCTATCTAACTCATGGACTTAATTACTATTATGTGCGGGTATTTGAAGTTATATTTCGACTTAATCAGAGTTAAACATGGACATCATGAGTTTGATACTGTTCTGCATTTACCTCGTTTCGATCTGGATCCCACTGTTATATACATGGTATATATTATATTATAACCATCAATAGAATATCCGGAATTAACCGTTTTTGTGTATTATTGTATTCCGTCTCCGTATCTTGTTTCTATGTTTTGTTGTTTGACTTCCTGTTCCGGGAATAAAATGAAAAGTTGAAGAGTGAAATTGTTTCGAGACATCTCTTAATAATCCTCTCACATCGCAAACCCAGTACACCACATATATTTTCTATATCGAGTCCATTCATATTATCTCAGAGTTAACGAAAATACTGTCAACGTCACTATTAGAAGTTGTAATGAAACTTTAAATACAATAAAAGTGGAAATTTTCGCGGTGCGCAAATCAGCGCGAAAATATCTATACGCGAACCTTTATGTATAGATTATGATATAGATAAATAGTGTATACATGTCAGAACAGTTGACAACGCGAAATGTCCACACCGCGATCAGTTTTTAAAAGGGTCACAAAGCGAACTTATATTCAGACGCGAAAATTTCCATTTTTCCAGTATCCAATGGCCTGTATTTCGGGAGGAAACGTATAGATCTGTGTCTGTGTTAGCAGAATATGTTTGGCGTGTGAATCAATTGTTACTGAAAGAAAGAAATTGGAGTGGGTTACACATACTTGCCAACCCTCCCTATTAAGGAGGAAGTCTCCCGATTTTGTCCCCTAACATTGAGTATTTTCAACCAGTGAATTTGCTGAACTATTCCTATCTTCTAAGATCTGTTGGTTTCATATGAAAGAACAATTCCAAATATGTCAGTTTAAAGTGTAATTATTTCATCCCTAGGTGTACATACATGTTTACATTTTATATATATACTTTTGAGTCTGAGCACGCGTAATCTACTCTATGAAAATTCCAAAAGTTAGAAAGTAGGAGCACTGACTTATAGATAACCTAATTCCGTGGTAGGGGTGAGGGCCGTGGGAGGGCATATATTTACCGTGTATTGATCTATATCCTTAAAACACCTGATAACAACTATGAAAAAAAAAGGTTTGTTACTTAATCTGTACTTATTGTAATTAATTTGTACAAAATATGGGATAATGTTTTACTCCCAATTCTTATTTTTAATATTTTAAACATTTCGATATACTATTATTAGTTCAATGATATATTAATTCAATGCTGAAAGCATATTCCTTTTGTGAACGACTATTTTAAATGTTGTTTTATAGGTTTACATCACTTTTCGGCTAAAACTGCTACCCCCAGTGATGGTATATGTATCGTATACCATCATAGGGGATGGCATTTTCGCCGATATATCATCTGGGTGGCATTAGATTAATTTTCGGCAAAAATGCCATCCCAATGATGGTGTATGAACCTATATACCATCGTTGGGGTGGCATTTTTACCGAAAATTGTTTTTGATCAGAAACCCCCCACCCCCACCCTGAGAAAAAAATACGTATTTTCACCATTTTCCTCAATCTTTCCCCACATGGAAACCCCACCTGGAAATTTGGAACCCCAAATATAGTTGTTACAAATTCCCCGGCCCCTGTGGTCATCAGAGGTCCGAACTCTATAATTGATTGACAGATCTCGGTTGTTAGCGCTACAGTGTTGTTAGGTATTTTATATCGTGCTTTATTTAGAGTCATCTGTGCCTCCGGCCTTATATCTGTACTACGTGTCAGTTGTTCATAGCCCTGATCTCTGTCCTATTGTTCTACTGCCGTAAGCAGTAAGGATTATCATTCATATTTTGACAGGTGCGAGTAAATGAGAGTTACCTCCCTTGCCAAATTTTCAATGTGAGAGGCGCTTATTGATAACTTCCGTTTAAAACCAAGAAAGATGTTGTGGACGGTGGCTCTGTTTTCGCTGATGTTTACAGCAGAATGCGTAAACTGGAAACCAAGATTTGAATACAAATACAGTTTTAAAGGACCACACTTGGTGCAAAGCGATAAAAGCGTGCCATTTTGGGAATATTTCGGTGGTAAGTTGTTAAAACACTGAGATGGCTATCAGCTGTGTTTTGGTTGCGAGTTAAGTACACGTGTAACATTGTATGAAGAACTACCGGCGAACATATGGAGGGGTCAAGATCGATGTTTAAACAAGATCACGAGTGTGATCGTAGTTATTGAATACAATAGAATAGAGTTGAGGTTTGAATATTGATTGTTTTAGTCACGAATTAATGTTTTTATAGCAAAAACCTTATTATCACATGGGGCTATCTTGGATTAGAATTTTGCCTTAGCAGAAGTTATATTAGGTAAATAATTAACTGTGTTAAAAAACACTTGTTGAGATAAATTTAAAAAATAATTAAAACTGTATATTTTATAAAATATGAAATGTCTTAATGTAAAGTAAATGGCAATATAATCAAATATATAATATAGAAATCTCATAATTATTTCCTGTTAATCCTAATGATCTGGAAATTTCGAGTTTTCTTCTTTATCTCTGTATACATGTTATATGGTTAATGTCTCTTTTCTGTTAATACTAAACATGTCCATATACTTTTCATTGATTGGTTGAAAACATTTAGTTTATTTAGCAATTTTATTGACTTTTCCTTCCAATATGGAGGGTCATAACAGATGTCACCTATAGCTAGTGAACGTTTATTCTAGGGAGTCAAAAACATTCTTAATGATCTTAAAAGGCCATGAACATCACATGAGTATCAGCCGATTAGTATTAGAAACTGTTAATATGAAAAGAAAAAAACCCTAGCACAAACTATCTTTTTTACATTAACATCAGTAGCAACCACATAACTGTTTAAACTCGGCAATCTTAGAATTAACATATGAAAGCAATACAGGTCCAGTACACTCTGCCGATTGAGCTATATAGCTGTAAAGGCCTATAATAGCTCTATTGACCTAAATCTGAAAGAGCTATTTTTTGTTATTTTCTTTTTTAAGGAAAACAAAACAGTCGCTTTAAAAAGGTTTTATCATTAGGTTGATAACAAAATATAAGGATTCTTTTTTTAAAAAAAAAACGAGATGAAAAATTAAAATAAACATATAAATGTTTATTTTTTGTGGTCAACATTACCATAAACCTTTATTGTTTTAAGCATCTTTCCTTTAATCTAATGAAAATTGAAATCACAGCTCAATACAGCTATAATATATAGGTGAATATAGCTATATAGGTCTTCATAGCTATATGGCTCAATCGGCAGAGTGTACTGGACCAGCAGTAGCTTTGTGGCTGTGACAGAAGTTTCTTATAGACTTACTAGTTCCTACAATTTTAAAGACGATATAAATTTATTGTGCATAAATATTTTGTGCCTGATAGCATGAAATGATTTGTAGTAATCATCTTTTCTTTCAGTGCTTTTGAACCATATCAATAATAAGAAATATGATGTTATTGGTCTATGAGGTAAACCATTCCTATAGACCTACATTATGTGTCATGGTGATTGTCTATTGATTTACTGTTAATTTCAAACACTGGCTAGATATTAAAGAGTAATGCCATGAACATGAATGATGACAAGTTTAGCCCCTCAGCCTGAGATATATGTTCCCCTTTGGGGTGTTACTCCATAATGTGCTTGGCATGTTATATCATACACCATGCTTTAAACTTGCTTGGGGCCTCAGTGATTTTTTGGCTCAGTTTTACAGCCTAGTACAGGCTGTTTCCCCTAGCTAAAAAGTGTCTGATTTTCCCAATTCATAAAGGAACAGGCTGTTGTAAAAGTTAGGTAAATAAACCCACAATTATAATAATAAATAAGATTTGAATGAATCGCATATCCATGTGCTGATTCATAATTTCAGGCTTAAGTCTCCCCATTATGATTTTGGAATGAGACTCCCAAATTTCACCTTCATCTTTTTTCTTTTGAAATCAGTAAAATTCCTTGAATCCCCCCCCCCCCCTGTATTTTGCAATTTATATTTTATGAAATAGAAGTCATATTAAGTACCGACCCTTTTAAACCTTATTAGGTTTTTACAAGGCAATTCAATTTTTTCTGTAAGCCTGTCAAAAATGCTGAAGGATTGTGAATTACTGGTAGCATCTTTGTGTTATGTATACAGTATATATATATCTTTGTACCGGTACATGTGTATCTGGATCTTCCATTGCTTTACAGAGGTCTTTAACCCTTTCACCCCTATGTAACTTTAGTTAACTCTTCCATGCATTGATCTAGATCAGTCCGTTTTGGTGTACAGTGGTGCCTATGTAACCTTAGTTAACTCTTCCATGCATTGATCTGTATGAGTCCGTTTTGGTGTACTGTGGTGCCTATGTAACCTTAGTTAACTCTTCCATGCATTGATCTAGAAGAGTCCGTTTTGGTGTACAGTGGTGCCTATGTAACCTTAGTTAACTCTTCCATACATTGATCTGGATGAGTCCGTTTTGGTGTACAGCGGTGCCTAAGTAACCTTAGTTAATCTTCCATGCATTGATTTGTACCGGTACATGTGTATCTGGATCTTCCATTGCTTTACAGAGGTCTTTAACCCTTTCACCCCTATGTAACTTTAGTTAACTCTTCCATGCGTTGATCTAGATGAGTCCGTTTTGGTGTACAGTGGTGTCTATGTAACCTTAGTTAACTCTTCCATGCATTGATCTAGAAGAGTCCGTTTTGGTGTACAGTGGTGCCTATGTAACTTTAGTTAACTCTTCCATGCATTGCTCTACATGAGTCCGTTTTGGTGTACAGTGGTGCCTAAGTAACCTTAGATAATCTTCCATGCATTGATCTGGATGAGTCCGTTTTTATATATATCTTTGTACCGGTACATGTGTATCTGGATCTTCCATTGCTTTACAGAGGTCTTTAACCCTTTCTCCCCTATGTAACTTTAGTTAACTCTTCCATGGATTGATCTAGATGAGTCCGTTTTGGTGTACAGTGGTGTCTATGTAACCTTAGTTAACTCTTCCATGCATTGATCTGGAAGAGTCCGTTTTGCTGTACAGTGGTGCCTATGTAACCTTAGTTAACTCTTCCATGCCTTGATCTGGATGAGTCCGTTTTGGTGTACAGAGGTGCCTAAGTAACCTTAGTTAATCTTCCATGCATTGATCTGGATGAGTCCGTTTTGATGTACAGTGGTGCCTATGTAACCTTAGTTAACTCTTCCATGCATTGATCTAGATGAGTCAGTTTTGGTGTACAGTGGTGCCTATGTAACTTTAGTTAACTCTTCCATGCATTTATCTAGATGAGTCCGTTTTGGTGTACAGTGGTGTCTATGTAACCTTAGTTAACTCTTCCATGCATTGATCTAGATCAGTCCGTTTTGGTGTACAGTGGTGCCTATGTAACCTTAGTTAACTCTTCCATGCATTGATCTAGATGAGTCAGTTTTGGTGTACAGTGGTGCCTATGTAACTTTAGTTAACTCTTTCCATGCATTGATCTAGATGAGTCCGTTTTGGTGGACAGTGGTGCCTATGTAACTTTAGTTAACTCTTCCATGCATTTATCTAGATGAGTCCGTTTTGGTGTACAGTGGTGTCTATGTAACCTTAGTTAACTCTTCCATGCATTGATCTAGAAGAGTCCGTTTTGGTGTACAGTGGTGCCTATGTAACCTTAGTTAACTCTCCCATGCATTGATCTGGATGAGTCCGTTTTGGTGTACAGTGGTGCCTAAGTAACCTTAGTTAATCTTCCATGCATTGATCTGGATGAGTCCGTTTTGGTGTACAGTGGTGAAAGAGTTAAATCATTTTAGTTAAGTGTTGCATACATATAATAGAGCAGACAGCAGAGGAAATGTAAACATTCCTATAGTCAGAATCTGTATCTGTGTGTGTATAAGAATAAATGATTTCAATGCACGTTGTATATTGGACAGTTAAATTCAGCAATGAACCCATTATATCAATTATGGAATTTTGTAATAAATAATTGGAATCGGAAAAGGTAAACCGATCAATTTTTGATTATAATCGTTATCATGAGACAGCCCATCACTGATGGGTGATCACTAACTGATAGGTCATATCATATACATAAATAAAATCATTACTTGAAGCACAGTTCTTTGAACAAACTATGACAGATAAGCAATATGTTTGCAATATTGTGATAACCTTGTTACAAAATCAGTAGAACATTGTATTATATGATTATGATTTTGCATATTTCTTTTCTTCAAAACGACCCTGTTTATCAATGTTTCCCTTGTAATTATTATATCAATAATATGGAAACCAGACAAGTTACATATAAAATACACTTATCAAAAGGGCAATACTTTTTTGCCTGAGAACTTTTCTTACAGGTTAATGCTAAAAAAGTCAGAACCATTTTTTTTGGAGGTTGAGATAAATATGCTGTCATCTTTGTTTTTTTTGTCAAATTGAAATGCTATGTTTTATTTCCTTACAGATTCAATTGCAAGTGATGAAAACATTAGAATAACACCTTCACTGAGAAGTAAAAAAGGTAATCATCGTTTTCCTTGTCTTCATAATTGTCAATGATCAGGGTTTGCTGCTCTGTTATTTAGGTGGGTTTCAAAAATGGTTTCAAGTACAAATAAAATGATTAAATGTAAATACATTTAATGTAAATACATTTAATGTAATTCATATTTCTGCAGTATTTGATATTTCACTGTAGAACACCATTTGTCCGAACCCAGATTATTCCAACTTTCAATGATTAAAATCTCAGTCATGTTATACCTGAACGACCACCTGTTTCAACTGTAAATTTCTCCAATAGCTGACTCAGCTGTTATAGTTGTATAATGGTTTCTCGAAAAAATGAATTTTTACAGCCAGAGTGTCCTCCCTTGTAAAATCAGACTGTGTGTGATGTTCTGTGTGCTCTGTAGTATATTTATCTATTTCATAGGACAAGTATGGGCCAAAAACCCAACAACATACGACATGTGGTCTGTAGAAATGGTTTTCAAGGTCACAGGAAGAGGTCGTGTGGGTGCCGACGGAATGGTAAGAAGTCTCCTTATTGTACTATGTAGAATGGATCTTTTTGTTGACGCCTTGTGACTAATTCCTGCTTGTTTGCAGTCATAAATCCCTGGATAATATCCTAGCCTGCATACACATAGACATACAGTGTGAAGAAGAGTTGTATAATTTGTCAAGTACAGACATGATATTCCAAATATTTTTATGGGCTTCTCATTTAAATAATGCACTGGATGCAATTTGAATTCAAGGAATAATCCAAGTTTTAAGGAATTCGAAAAACATCATTTTATGGAAAAGAATATATTTTGAGGTATCATGTAAATGTTTTGCAATAGTTCATTAATAGAAATGGCACTTATCCATTTGAAAATCAGTAAAAATAACATTGTTAACATCACATGGTAAAATCACAAGAATTTAGAAACTCTTTTCCAGTAACATGTGTACGAACAATTGAAGTCATGGTAACGTCGAAATACTATGCTTCCAAAATCCTTCGTCACGGAAGTAGCTAGTATAGAGTTACCGCGGTCCTATTTTTACGATGCTGTTTAGCTTTTCTACACATTCTCAAAAATATCTCTTTATTTGATAATTTTTTCTTGTTGCAGTCTCAAGTAGATCTATATAAGGAGGAAAATTACAATATATGTCAGTACATGTCAATTTTGTCATTTGCTCAAATTTTCAGAATGGGATTTCTGAGGATAGGCTGAAAATTTATAAATATTTATGTTTTTTCTGTCATCAGACAACGATTTTGAATCCCAATATTGTCAATTTGAAATTCACTATTTTAAAAAATGTACTTCCAACATCAAGACTGTGCGCTAACATTCGGGCCAACAAGAAATTATAAAACTTGTTTCGTAATGTAACACGAGAACAAGCCATTCACTGGTAACTGAATCGGTGATTGACCAGTATCATTTCTAACATTACAGGCCCTATATACACCAGAACAAGCCATTCACTGGTGACTGAATCAATGATTGACCAGTATCATTTCTAACATTACAGGCACTTTGGTTTACGGAGCAGAAGGGCGTTGAGGGGCCGGTGTTCGGCAGCAACGATCAGTGGAAAGGACTTGGACTCTTCCTCGACTCGTTTGACAATGATGGACAGGTAAATTAACCCATTCACCCCCAAAGCCACATTTGAACCTTACCAAATCAAAGACTGGGCAAGTCCAGTTTAGATATGTGGGAAAGGATGAGTTAAAACGGGTTCATAAAACTGTATTAAGGATCTTTGTACCACGGCCAAAAATTACAACAATGACTTGGAAGTTTTCTGTCCATTTATGACAAAAGCTAAAATAAATTATTTCTGAAAAGAAACCGTAATAGTTTGAAATCTGAAAGAAATGAAACCTTTGCTTACTTGTTTTTGTAAACAGCACAACAATCCTTACGTGATGGCCATGGTCAACGACGGTACAATGAACTACGACCACCAAAGGTGAGTGATCATATCTAAAACATTACACAGGATTATCTCCCTTCTGAAATTGTCAACACTTCAAATGCGTTTGTTGGGAAATATTTCTGCGCCGCCTTGAACTGTTTTGGCCAAGAAATGCGAAAGCTTTCAAAAGTTATTTTGAATATGTATTGCGATATTGATATATTTTTTACAAACAGTCCAGAACAAACTACCAACTTTCCCTTTTCTATTGAGCTACATAAGCTTCTTTAACGGTTTTCCGTACAAAATTTATTTGAAGCATGACTGATGATTTGATCTGTTGTTATAGTGACGGTCTACAGCAGCAGGCCGGAGGATGCTTACGTGACTTCAGGAACAAGCCGTACCCCGTCCGCATCAAAGTCGAGTACTACAACAACATTCTTACTGTAAGCTACATTGTTTAATAAAACATATTTTATTTGCAAAAATACAAACGGGATTATAAGACACAAGTAAAAACATTAAACATTTGTCTTCTCCCTTAAAACAATAATGATGATATATACAGCTCCTATGCTCCTACACCTTTATAAGATGTCGCCCCCATATTACTGTTGTCCTTCACATACACAGAAATACCTCAGCAAACTGCCCCTCATTTCGTTTGCCACCTCTAGATCTCTAAGTGCTGTCAACACATACATATCTGAAAATCAATGTTTTCTTTATACAACAATAACATTTGTCTTGGAATGTTGCCATTTTCAAACCACTGAGTGGTTATTTTGGGTTAATTTGGTACATGGACTGAGTTTCAGCATTTCTGTAACCACCTTTTTTGGTTCTCAGTTAAAAGAAAAGGTACATTGACATATATAATGGAGGAAAGTGTTTTCTTTTTTCAATCCAAAAGACATTTTGAAGTTGACCGCTGTGAACAACTATTGACCATTGATGTTGTTGTTACAGGTTTTCTTCAACAACGGACTGACCAGTAACAAGGACGACTTTGAGTTGTGTCTGAGACAGGAGAATATCCACCTCCCTAAATCTGGCTACTTCGGGATCTCAGCAGCCACTGGAGGATTGGCTGGTAAGAGGAATGGTTTTTTTGTCTAGCCACCACAAAGTAGTGGAAGCGAGACTAAGGTGTTGCTTTTCTGGCGACGGTGGCAGCGACGACGTCAACATTAAGTTTATGCGCTTAACTTAGTTTCACTGAAAGTATAAGTGCTAGACCAACCAAACTTTGCATCTTGGGTAGTACATCTCAACCCATGCATCCAACGCTTGATGCGGCCTACCTTTCATGGTCCATTGACTTTGTCAGCATCTCCATCAACATTAAGTTTTTGCATTTAAGTTAGTTACTCTGATATTTGCATTGAAGGTCAAAGCGGGGCACAGGCGAGACATATCAATCCGAATGGCTTGTTGTATTTTATTTTATTTGGTTTTGTTTTTGTTGCTTTTCTCTGATTTTCTCTATTTAAAAGTCTGAATTTGTTGGTATTTCTGGTGAGGCAAAAGAATTATGTGTGTTTCCGCTATCATCCTTAGAAAAAAATGGGTAGGTTGGTAGATTTTATTTTTTTATTGTGGAAAAATATTTTTACTATGATTATATAGATCAGGAGTTCTGACTTTAACAGTGCTTATCACTAAATGCCAATACAAACTTTCGGGTTGGCACACAAATCTAAGTTAGGTAGGGTAAGCAGAAACACCAGATCTGTTTTGTTTGGCCTGGTAGTAGATTGTTCCAGAGAACCGCAGGCTTGTACATGGGAGAAGAATACTGCTCGACATCTAGATGTGGCCATGTTTTGTATGGGTAAACCAACAATAGAAAATATGAATTCCCTTTTCTTACTTGAGTATGAATGATTATTATTATGTACCTACCATCAATGATGTTAGTAGATATTTGATAAGATGTGTTATATTTTCCCCCTCCAGATGACCACGATGTGCTGGCATTCCTGACTCATTCCCTGATAGACACAGACAAACAGGTAGTTCTATAATCTTGGTGTGTTTACACTACACAACCTTTCTAAGCTTTACACTTACATAAACCTCATTTATCTTAAAAACTTAATTTAAAACCACTGGAGAGAAAATTGATTTTAGGTTTTAATTAATTAAACATAATGAATTGTGTTTATTACCCTTTATATAGAAATTGTTTGAGGGAAAATTGACCAACATAACTGGGCTGTAGTAGACTCTACCATGCATTGATATGATTACTACAGACAAATAGCTATCTCAATGGAAGGTTGACCAACATAACTGGGTGTAGTAGACTCTACCATGCATTGATACGATCACTACAGAAAAATAGCTATCTCAATGGAAAGTTGACCAACATAACTGGGTGTAGTAGACGATAAGATTACTACAGACAAACAGCTATCTCAATGGAAAGTTGACCAACATAACTGGGTGTAGTAGACTCTACCATGCATTGATATGATTCCTACAGACAAATAGCTATCTCAATGGAAAGTTAACCAACATAACTGGGCTGTAGTAGACTCTACCATGCATTGATATGATTCCTACAGACAAATAGCTATCTCAATGGAAAGTTAACCAACATAACTGGGCTGTAGTAGACTCTACCATGCATTGATATTATCACTACAGACAAATAGCTATCTCAATGGAAAGTTGCCCACCATAACTGGGTGTAGTAGACTCTACCATGCATTGATACGATCACTACAGAAAAATAGCTATCTCAATGGAAAGTTGACCAACATAACTGAGTGTAGTAGACGATATGATTACTACAGACAAACAGCTATCTCAATGGAAAGTTGACCAACATAACTGGGTGTAGTAGACGATAAGATTACTACAGACAAACAGCTATCTCAATGGAAAGTTGACCAACATAACTGGGTGCAGTAGACGATATGATTACTACAGACAAACAGCTATCTCAATGGAAAGTTGACCAACATAACTGGGTGTAGTAGACGATAAGATTACTACAGACAAACAGCTATCTCAATGGAAAGTTGACCAACATAACTGGGTGCAGTAGACGATATGATTACTACAGACAAACAGCTATCTCAATGGAAAGTTGACCAACATAACTGAGTGTAGTAGACGATATGATTACTACAGACAAATAGCTATCTCAATGGAAGGTTGACCAACATAACTGGGTGTAGTAGACTCTACCATGCATTGATATGATCACTACAGACAAATAGCTATCTCAATGGAAAGTTTCAAAGAGTTGGCAAGTATGTGACCGTATCTGTGAAAATGGTAGCAAGGATTAATTAGAGCCATTTTGTTGTTGACAGCCTGATATGCAGCAGGTGCCTGAACAAGAAAAACAAAAATACGAAAAAGAGTTTGATGATTACTACCAGCAGCTGGAAAAACAAAAAGAAGAGTAAGTTGACTATCACGTCCAAGAAATTCTGAAGGAGCATGGACAACAGGACAGAATCTGGCTAATCGTTGAGTTCATTCCAGGCTCGTGTTTTAATGTTTGACTCAAACGTGATTTAGTAAAAGTTTTGATGTTGTTTTATTTCAGTAATAAATCAGATACATCATACAATTATGACAGTCAAGTATATAACATGGCATGACTTTCGACATCGAAGTGAATTTTTTTTTATTAAGGATGTTATCTTGAGTTCATTGAGATGTATGTAGATGTGACTTATGTAAGTTGTTACAATGAAAAGAGAAACATATACGCAGGTATTTCTATTTCTACACCTTCTTATGATAAAGGCTTACTTAAGCAGCATTTAAAAGGTTTGGTAAAGATTTGGTAAAGGTTTGGTAAAGGTCGTGGTACCGAACTTACCCTACACTTGACAGTCTCGGGGTCACAGTTGTCTGGGTCAGAGGTGTCTGAAGATAATTACAGATGACAAATATAAAATGTTTGACTGTAGTTTCCCTGATATAACTATCACACATACACTATTCCGGCCTTTACTGCACTGTCAGTTTGGTATGTTTTAAGTGGAAGCTGTTTTTGTTTCATCTTTCTGTTCATTTTACAGATTCCAGCAGCAGCATCCGAACCGAGTCAACCCAGATCTGGACATGCCTGGCATGGTAGGTTAATGTAATAACTTCTAGCTGTTATACAGTATAGTCTTGTTATAGTAATAAATCTCTTTTTGAAAAAACTCTACAGTTTTAACTATCTGAAAGCTGTTGGACTTTTTAAAAAACAATGAGTCACTATATATAGCCACTATCAATATTCAAGTTAATGTTTGTCTTTTACGTTTGTTTTTATTTAACATCTGTTTGTGTCGACCATTTGTTGGTCCCATTGACCTCTCTGGTGTTGATGGGTCGTTAAACATGTAATACAATGATAAATTAATAAACACTAAATTATCAATGATGGAATCAGTCAGACATCCTCGAGTCGTATGGTACATGGAAGGCAGGGGCATGTATCCTTCCAGTGCGATGATAAATCAGGAACAAGCTAATTATCAATGTTTGAATCAGTCAGACATCCTCGAGTCGTATGGTACATGGAAGGCAGGGGCATGTATCCTTCCAGTGTGATGATACATCAGGAACGAGTTGATTTGGTTGAAATAAAAGGATAGCTAGCGTTGGTAAATTTTGATTAAAATGACTGAAATTTCACAACCATCATAAAAAGGATATCTACAGACTAGTACCGTCTCATTATTAGTCGGGAATGGCACACCAGTGATTAACATTCGTTGTGTGGAAGATTTTCTGTGTTTACGACATTACAGGGCAAGCATATCTAAAACCCAGTAGAATCATGAGAGAAAAAAAAAATATATTTCAATCGTTTTTTTTTTAAATCTGGAGAGAAAAGGTCTTTTTAAATCTGGAGAGAAAAGGTCTTTTTAAATCTGGAGAGAAAAGTTGTTTTTAAAGCAGCATCTTGTTTGATGACCTATAGAAATGTTATATATCATTTGTGGACTGAATATGTCGAAGTTAAGGATTGTAATTAACTAAATTTAGATTAATTTCCAACAGAAATGTTTGGTTTACCTCTGAAGACAAATTGAATATAAATCGCTCTTTCTTGTTTGTACAGTTTGAGTCACAGGGCGAACAGGAACTGAAGATGATATTTGATGGCCAGAACGAGATGCACAACACCCTAAAAACGTTAAACAGGAAACTGGACGAGTTACTAGGCAGACAGGAAATGGTATTGTCCAAGATTGGTCAGCTACCCAGCGGTCAAGTACAGGGTGGAGCGCCGCCACAGGTAAGTTTGACTTCAGAAATGAAAGAAACACAGGAGCATGTTCGATTATGCAGAACAGCCTGTTTGTCTGTTTTTAAATGTAACATGTTCGGGTATAAATCCTAGCTGAGCCGAAATTTTTATGTAGGCCTTGAACGGCTTTGTCAAGGCTCGCCTGAAAGCAGCATGAAATTACTAGGTCTGACTTTATTTAGTAAAGGAACAACTCTTGCCCAACCGTTTGAATCACAATAACCAAATGCGGCCCAGGTCGGATTATGATGCATTTAAATTTTATTTTATTTTTAAATGTTGAAATTGGAAATTTAGCATGTCATGTGGGACATAAACATATTCTTTGAAAACAAACATTAGGGGTGTACACTTTTGTATTAAAACAACAACCAAACATCAGGGGTGAACACTTTTGTTTTAAAACAACAACCAAACATCAGGGGTATACACTTTTGTATTAAAACAACCACCAAACATCAGGGGTGTACACTTTTGTATTAAAACAACAACCAAACATCAGGGGTGAACACTTTTGTATTAAAACAACAACCAAACATCAGGGGTGAACACTTTTGTATTAAAACAACAACCAAACATCAGGGGTGTACACTTTTGTATTAAAACAACAACCAAACATCAGGGGTGTACACTTTTGTATTAAGAATACTAGCCCCACCTATATTTTATAATAATTTTGCCTTCTTTGCGGACCATGAAAAGGACAAAAGTTCATCTGTGGCTAAAATTTTCCGCTATACAATGTATGTTTTTATTTGGTAAAAATAATTCTAGGTTTTAGCAAAGTTGTAGAGGTTCACCTCAATTATGAAAAAAGCTGTTTGGATTACTATCAAACCTCAGATCAGTCTCCTTACTTTGCTAGAATATCTGTACTTATAGAATTGCACTCCAATGCTCTTGATGTAGAAAATTGTGGTTGTGTTCATGGAACGGTCTGCTAAAACATGAAAAGATGTAAAGCCGACAGAATATTTGTGAGACGTTGAATGCCCTTTATTGGTCGTTGTTGTAATTCAGATATAATGTTTATATAAGTTAAAAATATATATATATTTTTCATTACAGGGAGGGAACCAGCCTCAGCTCGGCTCTACAATACAACGGCATGAAGTAGACAAAGTTCTCAATAATCAAAATGATATCATGTTAAACGCTAGAGAAATAAGGTGAGTCAAGTAGCATACATTTACCATGTCTAGTCTTTAGAGAAATAAGGTGAGTCAAGTACAGTGTTCTCCCCAGAATGTTTTGAAAGAAGCATGGTATCTCAATATTTCTGTTAAAGCAGCACTCTATGTCAAATCAAAACAGCATGGTAACTTTAGATTTACTATGAATATATAGCAGAGAAGATCTAGGACAGCAACATAGCAAGCAATTATAGGAGCATGAACAGCCTGGGGAGAACACTGAGGTAACATACATTTACCATGTCTAGTCTATAGGATTGCAGTTCGTTTCATTGATTTATCAATTTGCATAAATTAAATTGAACTAATGTGATCATACATGACCCTACTTGATGCAATCACCAGGTACTGGTAACAGGTCGGTGGTTTTTCTACGGGTACTCCGGTTTCCTCCACCTCAAAAACATGGCACATCCAAAAATGACCATAGCTGTAAATAGGATGTAAAACAGAAACAAACCAAACTACAACCAGTCCATATTTATCTGCTATAGTTATGAACGTACATTTGTGGGGGTCCTTACTACATTTCAGAGGATAACCAAACATGATCTTTATGTCATAAACTTACACAAATATCCTGTTTCCGTTCCAGAAATATAATTAATGATGTACAGCAGAAAGCGAGTTATATACAGAATAACGTAGGTACAGCCCAACTGGGAGGAACAGGCGGAGGAACGGGCGGAGGAATCCCCGCCGACATAGACCAGATTATTAGAGAGCTACAAACTAATGTACGCTCCGTTAAATCTGACACGCTCGGTTTGATGCAGAGGCCGACGGTGAGTATTTCAAAGTTGGATTTACAAATATGAAACCCTGACTATTATATACAGGTAAACGTCATTAAATCTGACACCCTCAGTACAATGTAGAGGCTGGGGATGATTATTTTTGTAGTTAGGGTCAATTATCTTAAAAAAACTTTCGAACAACCACTTCTCAATAACCAAATGACCCAGGGTGATGATATTTGGCCAGTAACATGCTACCAAAGGTGTTAAAATGAATGACCTTTACTTTTATTCAAGGTCACAGTGTCAGCTGGGATGAAGTGCTACCAAGTTTGTTCGAATTAATGACCTCCACACATATTCTAGGTCACTGGGGTCAAATATGTCAAAAACTTTAACCTACTTTTTGTAAATAACCAAATTGCAAAGGATGGTGATATTTGACCTGTAGCATGCTCAGATGAAGAGCTATCAAGTTTAATTCGTTTATGTGAATGACCTTGACACACTTTCAAGATTACATCTGGTTAATCGTGTATAAATCTTTCAAGGTTGTTTCAATTTAATGCTCTTGTTTGACTTTCAAGGTCACAGGAGTGAAATGTGTTTAATTTTTTTCTTTTGAATAACTTTGAGTCAAGACACTGATATTTTGCTTATAGCTTTATTTTAGTCTTCTTTTAAGATTATAATTGTTAGAATAATACCAGGTGAGCAATGCAGGCCCATTGTTCCTCTTGTTTTGTACACATACTCATCATTTAATCTGACATCTCTGTATGATAAAGTGGATGATCATCTTTTCTCAATAAAATATGTTGAAATTGAAATTGAATAAATGCTTGTTAGACCCATAATTCTAAGTAAATAGCCTCTTTATGAGATTGCGAAATACAAAAGTGAGTTAAATTGTAGTTCAAATTTTATTGTGTGTGTTTGTAACATTGTTACGTTGGATATATTTACAGCCGACAGCGGGAAATTGTCCTCCAGTAGAGTCGGGTTGTGTGTCACCGTTCCTCTTCTTTGTCGCTCTCGGCGCGCAGGTTATAGTACTTATAGGGTATATGGTTTATAGGTAAGTATTGTATTGTTTGTGAAATATTAAATGATAAACAAAATTATATAATTCACGTGATCCATATAACCACAGGGATAATTTGAAGCTATCATTTTGGACATACTGTACACATAGACATTTTTGCGGCAGTTTGACGTTTGCCTTTTTTCCCCTAAAAGGGCAAATTCGTCATGACAGCTAATACTAATACATAACATACAATGTATAGTAATTACGTGCAAAGGGTGAAGTTGACACTAGGTGAACATGAATTTTATCGGCAAAAGGCGAATATTTGACCTGGGTGAAAGTTTCCCGGTATACAGGATATACTCCAAAGTTAAATGTATATTTCAAACTGAAGTGTATAACAGCTTCCAGTGTGGGTATATGGATCATTTGAATTATAGGTTTATTTCTTTAATATTTATTAGAAATAATAAATATAAAAGAATATTATTGAAAAAAAATGTATCTTGATTGTTTCTTGTGTCTCCAAAAAACACAATTGCGCTGATTTAAATGTTGTCAGATAACCGTTGTTGCTTACATACTTATTCGGCCATTAAGATTTAATTGATAATATATGATATAGCCACTTTGGTCAAAGTGTAATGATGCTAATTCGGCCATGCAGCGATACCTGTACCAATGACCTCACTAAACTACCTGTCTTTATTAAAATAAGACCCCCGCATGCTAACACCCGGGCCAACAATAGTGATTAATATAAGTTGAAATAACTTGTATTATAATTGTTGTAAAATAAAAGAAGTTTGTATTGTATTTAAATTTTGATAAAGTCAATACATGTGCTTGTCCCGTGATGTATTTGGAATGTATTACAGGGTGAAGGCTTGTAAAACAAATCACTGCATTGTTGTCTCCAATGATGTAACTACATGTGTAAATAAATGATTTTCTTTTTCTTTTTCAGGCAAAGTAGAGAAAATCAAGCTAAGAAGTTTTACTGAGCCCACCGGGGAATGTAATTAACACAATTTAAGACTTTATACATAAACATTTCATATTTAATTATAAAAACAAAAATAATAACAAAATAATCAGATTATCATGTTTCCAGAAACTGCTCATCTTTAATTTGTGTGTAAGTTGTAAAAGTAGTGATTAGATTTTTTAAAAAAGGAAGATTGTTTTCAATGATAAACTTCATGCTGAAGACTCGATTGATAAAAAAATTAGATATTTTTGTAACAGAAATATATCACAGGAGTGACAGGGTACATTGGACACTGTACGAAAATCAATTTCATGGGCGAAAGGTGAAAGTTTGACTGGGTTAAATTTCCCATTATACAACATATTTGTAGGTTATCAGTACTGTTACAAACAGTGGTTAAATTTCCCATTATACAACATATTTGTAGGTTATCAGTACTGTACAAACAAAACTATGAACTTTTATGGAACATTTAAAAAAAAAAAATCTCTGGTTTTTATATTATACTGTGACAACTGTTGAGGAAACGTTTCCCTCTGATTAACCATTCCATTATTGTTATTGTTATATATAGGGAATGGTGGTCATTTCCATGTGCAATTATTTTCTATAATATATAGTCTCAGCTTTTTAATGCAGCAATCCTATGATTTTCTTGTTGATGATGTATTTTCTGTTTTATAAACATAACACTTCTATTTTCCACATGGTTCTAATTTCGGCTGTGGATGAATTGATATAAAATAGATATAATGAAAAAATTGTCATTTGTGAGAATAGGTCAAAGAACTTGTCATATTTCACACATAGTGCACTATAAAAATAAACACTTCAAACTAACTTTTTGTGTATTATGAAAAGTTTGATTGTTTAGATTTTTTAAAACAATGTCAGTTAATCAGGAATCTTTACTGAACTACAATATTACCACAGCTAGCCTGTGCTAGTGTTCTATGTACCTGCAGGCTGGTCAGTGTCATTTTACCAGGTTTAGAAATGCATTACATTGAACCTATGATAAGTATTACATTTTTATCAAGAGACATATTACATAGAACTTTCAATAGATTTTTTTTTTTATCTGGAAGCAAAGTTTAAATTGACAATAAATGCGAGAAAAAGGATACAAGTTGTGTTTGCAATGTAGCGTCATCTGTAGATGAAGAAATTGGCAGAAGATATTTTCTGATTTTAGCTTTTAATTTCATGTTTTTTTATTTGCTAAATTTAGTGTTGATTAAAGCGAGAATTTGTTGTTTACATGATTCACCCCTACATATCTAAAGTAGACTTGCCCAGTCTTTACTTTGGGAAGGTTTAAATGTGACGTTAGTGGTGAGTGGGTTAAGTGTTTCTGTTGAATGAATGAGATTGCTGTGATGTGTGGAGTGAAATAGTGTGTGATAATCTGAGAATGTTAATACAAGATCTGGACGAGTAAGATGTAAAATCTAATTCAAACAGCTAATTGTTAGGAAGGTTTGGATTAACCTGACATTGTTTCATAGTAAATTAGAAAAAAATGTGTTGATCATGAATAAATTAATAATTGTTATAAAATGAAATAGAAGGTAATGTCTTCAGTTTAATTATTGTTACAACTGTTTTGTGACGCTAATGAGAACATGACACACTGATTGGACCTGTTGTGAATTTGTGTTTGGAGACTGTGTATTTTTACGTTGTGTCGTGATACGTGTAACATGTGTAAACGTCCCCCATCAGTACCCACCATTAATATTTTATCATTGTTATGTAAGTGGTAGTAACTTAGTTATGTCAAACACAGGTAAAATCTAAACACATTTTAAGGGTTATTTTAATGCTTAAAGACAATGTTGAGCACTGGACACGGCTTAATTGGTAGTGATGGATAAACTCATTCACCCCTGAAATTTCACAATGCACTTTTCCAACCTTTGAATTGGAAGTTTAAGTGTGTTTTCAGGGGTGAATGAGAATTTTCAATGTTGAAAACTATCATTAAATCAGAATCAGGATGCAAACTTCAGAAAAAAATTGTACTTGTGAAGAAATCTGTACAGTTGTTTTATATAGAAGTAAAACTGTGATAAAAATTGATACCATTAAAAACAAGCCAGACTAATGGGCAAAACTAAAATATTCTTAGAATTGACGTAGATTTTTCCTGACTTGTGTGATTGGCTGAGTATTTTATACCTGTTTTTAGCTTGTTAGTAGTATACAGTATTTTAGGTATTGGTGTTGCTAGTGATTGTTATGTCTGATATGTATGCAACAGTTGATGTTGATTTTGGTAACCATAATACAAAATCACATAATTGTAACATTTTCATGAAAAAAACTCACGTATTTGTTATGTGTAGTTAACAGGTCTTCTTGAAAAAAAATTACAACTTTGTAATATTTTTATAATGATATTATTTTCATGAAGAAAAATATTGCTGTGTCCTGTTTGCTTACATAGAGGCGAACAAGTCTATTTGGACCCTGAGTAATCTATCATCCTGTCAAATCCAACATATCTCTATAATCCTAAGTTAGTGTAATCTGACACCTGTCTAATCCAACCTTGTTGTTAGATCCCACAGTGTTTTATACCAGACAAGTATCACAATAGTATAGAGACAGAAAACCTAGGTTTAATTTTGAATGATTATAATTTCTTTATGAGGAAACATTGAGGGAATGTCTTAAGAATAGAAGAAAAGTGTTGTTGTAATTTATTTAGTGTAATTAATTTATTGGATGGTAGAACTTTTTTTTTTTATATATATATAGCTTTATATGCATGATTTGGTGCAAAATAAACAAAAATATATCTCCAACACCCATTTAAAATCAGAACCTAGTTTGACATTTAATTCCTATCCAGAAAAATAATAGTTCAAATTTTACAATTTAAAAGGCCTGACTAGAAAGCACGAGTCCTTATCACAGGAAAATCTCAAAGGGAGGTAACTCCTACAGATAATTCACAGGTAGGATGTGTGAGTTAACATACATCCTTAATACAGATCACAGGTATAGTGTATCATAAAGGGAGATAAGTTCACCTTAAATCATGTGTCAAACACAGGAATAATCTCAAAGGGAGGTAACTCTTACAGGTAGAATATGAGTATTTTCAACCTTTAAAAAAGGTACAAGTTGTGTTAATATTGTCTTGAATTTTTGAATGATGCTGAATCCAAGAGTCTAATGATAATTGGTTTCTGGAATGATTATGGAAACATCAAAAGTTAATATAACTTGTGTGGTATATACTTTGTCTACTTTCAAATCCAAAGGTTTCTCAGGATTTACCTTGCTCCAACATATAAATCAATACGTACATCTCAAATCATACGTTTTACCTTCCCGTTCTTTCACTGGTGCTATTTACAGAAAGTTCAGAACTTTGTGATACTGGAAAATTAGCCGTAGCCTGTTATACTTTATTATAGTGAAATGTTAAGTCAGGGGAGCTAATCTTTATATCAGTATTATTTTGAAATTCAAAAACATGTAATGAAGCAGATCACAGGAAGTTAGGTCTGATTGTAATATATTCAAATGTTATGTTTTAAAGATCTGAGAAAAGTCGTGGGATACATTTTAATCGTACTAAAGTTAGTTTTGAGAATTTTCTTGAATTGATGTTAATGAAATGTTTTTTTAATTTTAAACCGAATGATTTCTTAGAATATTGATTAAGGTCATGTCCTGAAGTCCATTTATAGCTCATCAGTTAAAATGTGTGTGCCCCCTTATCATCTATAATCAGAAGGAGGTTCAGGTTGCTAAGATCAACATTTTTTTCATATTTCTCATGTACAACCAGAACAGACAAGGGTGAGTGCTAAAAGGGTTTTTACTCGTAGGTCACGATGTTATGATACACAGATCTGTTGGTGCCATTGTATGATTGGTCATGTTTGTCTGAACAGTTGAAAGTGTGAGGCCCAAATTGTCGCAGTGAATGGTATATTTACTGACAGGTGTAGAAGGTTATTTGAAACAGATGTTAAGTATATGTCTGGGTCACGTAATTTCAGTTTGATATTAAATATATTACCTAATAGAGTACCATTCCATTTTCAGTCATTTATAACACTGATATCGGGCCACAATTTGAAAAATATCTACGTATCGGAATTATATTTCTGGCATGACTATCTTTGATCAATCATTTCTGAAGAGAAAACCAATAACATATAATCAACAGCATCAGCAGGGCTAGACCGGCATTCCAACCCTGGACTTAGTGTAGTATTTACTGTATATACAGTATTTACAGTATTTATTCAATATTCAAACATGTTATTTACGTACATATAATTACACAGGGATCGTAACACAAGCTTACAGCTTACATTAATTCCTCTCCCAACACTTAGATTGTGATACTATCACTCTAACCGATTAAGTTACACAGGGATCGTAACACAAGCTTACAGCTTACATTGATTCCTCTCCCAACACTTAGATTGTGATACTATCACTAACCGATTAAGTTACACAGGGATCGTAACACAAGCTTAGAGCTTACATTGATTCCTCTCCCAACACTTAGATTGTGATACTATCACTCTTACCGATTAAGTTAGCTAAAATTTCAAACCGCTATTTATAGCTGTATAGTTACCCCACTATTTATAGCTGTATAGTTACCACACTATTTATAGCTGTATAGTTGTGCCACTATTTATAGCTGTATATATAGTTGTGCTGCTATTTATAGCTGTATAGTTGTGCCGCTATTTATAGCTGTATAGTTTTCCTGCTATTTATAGCTGTATAGTTGTGCTTGCTGTAACGTTGATAACCTTTGACCTGTGAACATTCCAGCTTTACAAAGACTTCAGGTACAAAACCATCAGAAAGTATTTATAGATTTACAGTTTTAAAGGTTTTAAAGTATGAAGGATAAATAATTGTTATATTTCCTTTTCTTTTTGAAAACCTGAGCTAGATCTGCACTGTTTTCAACCATATTTATTGACCAGGACGATAGAAACTTGTTATTTACGTAAATATTGAATTTCAGTGTTATCACAGTAAATACAGTTTGCCTGGTATAGATTATGAGGTTCATGTTATATACCTCTAGTTTATCAGATTTGTAGTATTTAGAAGATATTATCAACCAACTATATGGTGACCAGAGCGGAAATCAAACCAGATTGTTTTTTATTGCAGACCTTTACATGTATCGCCAATTATTCAGTATTCCTCAATAATTGTTTAGAATTGATGAGTTTTGATCATCTGTGGAATAATTTATAAATGAAAGTATGGCAAAAAAAATATTTTTATGAAATATTTCTGTAGTTAACAATTATCTAGTGTCTGGTTAATACATTTATTTACTGACTTGTTTCACACGTCTATTTTCCACATTTTTCTGGGTTTATGACAATCTGCTAGTATTGTACTTCGCTATTGTACTTCGCTTACATTTTAAGATAGGAAACTCTGCACATTTTTTATTTATTTCCTGATATTTTCTATCAATACGTAAAATTATTAACAATTGCAACACGTTTGATATGTACATCGTTTGTGTAGAAAGTATAACTTTGATATACATAAAATTACTGATTTTCATTTTTTATTTACAATTTGTGCCATACCGTCATTTGTCTCATTTTGGGTAGAAATTATTTTCACGTATCAACATGTTGATTTACATCAGACTATTACCAAACCTATATGAAGAATTACATTTTTTTTTCTGTTGTCCATTAGTTGAATAAATATCAAATTGAAAATTTCGTGAATATTGGATAAAAAAAAGTAATAAGTGATATATACTTCATTGATAACAGTTTACCATTTTAAGTGAAAGTTAATGATATCTGCATTCTTTGATACAGAAAGATGATACACGTAGCTACTGGTATATTGTGTCTCTGTTAGTATTTGTCGGTACATGTTGTGAGCAAGATCATATAAATGTGTGTAGGTATGAATCAGACATTTAAACACGAGAAGTTGATTGAAGTCAATGTACTGTACCATTCGGTACACCTCTCCCCAATAACAGTTCCTTGGACCGGTCGAGGTGTTCCGAATGGCACTGTACATCACTTGTATATTTTAAATACATATTTTCCTATCAATCTGTTCAAAACATCCTTGTGTATTAATATCAACTTAATAACAAAGTTAACCTGAATGACAATGTCACAGATTTAACTACCTATTGGTGTAGGTGAATAGATCACAGATTTAACTACCTATTCGCGTAGGTGAATAGATCACAGTTTTAACTACCTATTCATGTAAGTGAATAGATCACAGATTTAACTACCTATTCGTGTAGGTGAATAGATCACAGATTTAACTACCTATTCGTGTTGGTGAATAGATCACAGATTAAACTACCTATTGGTGTAGGTGAATAGATCACAGATTTAACTACCTATTGGTGTAGGTGAATAGATCACAGATTTAACTACCTATTCGTGTAGGTGAATAGATCACAGATTTAACTACCTATTCGTGTAGGTGAATAGATCACAGATTTAACTACCTATTCGTGTAGGTGAATAGATCACAGATTTAACTACCTATTCGTGTAGGTGAATAGATCACAGATTTAACTACCTATTCGTGTAGGTGAATAGATCACAGATTTAACTACCTATTCGTGTAGGTGAATAGATCACAGATTTAACTACCTATTCGTGTAGGTGAATAGATCACAGATTTAACTACCTATTCGTGTAGGTGAATAGATCACAGATTTAACTACCTATTCGTGTAGGTGAATAGATCACAGATTTAACTACCTATTCGTGTAGGTGAATAGATCACAGATTTAACTACCTATTCGTGTAGGTGAATAGATCACAGATTTAACTACCTATTCGTGTAGGTGAATAGATCACAGATTTAACTACCTATTCGTGTAGGTGAATAGATCACAGATTTAACTACCTATTCGTGTAGGTGAATAGATCACAGATTTAACTACCTATTCGTGTAGGTGAATAGATCACAGATTTAACTACCTATTCGTGTAGGTGAATAGATCACAGATTTAACTACCTATTCGTGTAGGTGAATAGATCACAGATTTAACTACCTATTCGTGTAGGTGAATAGATCACAGATTTAACTACCTATTCGTGTAGGTGAATAGATCACAGATTTAA